GAGCGCTTATATCGGACATTTTTTATGCAGGCCGATAAAATCCGATACTCGTTTTTTGGCAGATATCGGACCGATATCCGATATCGATATCGGATCGGGACACCCCTACTTTTAAGTTAATTTTGTTGTTTTGTGATATTAATAATGCTAATATATTGATGTTTTTCTAATTTCAATCTAATTTTGCTTCTGCAACAGGATGTACGCCGGGGTAAGGACGGGAGGCTAGACTATCCAAAATCACAGCCACTTTTTTCCGGTCTTCGCGTTCTATTAAGGACCTGGCCCACCAAGACCAGGTAGGCAAGGTCCTTTGGAGGATGCAGCCCCTGAATTCGGACAAAATATCTGTTGGTCTGTTGAGAGATGAGTTTTAAGGCGAGGTTCTGTTTACCCAAGACCCGACACCGGAACAAGACAAAGGTAAAGGTCGGGTAGAAAACGAACAAAAATTAATGGGTGGCTGATTTTTTTCCCACAGGACATTCTGAGGGTTAACTGAACCTTCACCAACAGGTGATACTTATTATTAACATTTCATATGGACTTCTACAACTGGGAATTTAATTACAGTAACTTCTGTGACATTTCACAGGAAAAAGCAGATGGCCAATGTTTAAGTTTACCAACAACTTGTAGAAGGCAGGATTCAAACCGAATTAAAACCCTCTCAGCTCTTCTAAGATTTCCGTACATCACCATGAGTGTCTCCTGACGCAAACAACCGAGCGTCGGAACCCCCCGAGCAAAACACATTAAACCTGAAGTATTTGAAAACTGAGCGCCTCGGTGCGGCGCAAGGTGAGCTGCCGATCGCCCCGCTGTGCCGAAGCTGGAGCTTGATTGRTCCTGATTAGTGAATAAATCAAACAAGTATCAAATCAAGCCGGGGCCAATTGCCTCCTACTCACACTTTGATTAGGTTCACGCACCCAAACGTGTTCCCCGGTTGAGGCCCCCCCCCCACCCCCCCCCCCCACACACACACACACACACACACACCTTGTCCTGCTGGAGTCTACTCCGTAATTGGCAAACTCTCTCCCTTTGCCTCTATCTTAGCCAGCTGTAATTAGTGTGCCAGCAACAATGCTTGTTTGTCAAAAACAACAACAACAACACACATGTACACAAACGCAACACTCATCCCCCATCCTCTATTATGCCTGAGCTAACAGCCTTTGATACACCCACGCAANTAAATATCAGCTGAAATGTTGTTATTTCATTTGATGATTCTTCTGAACTGAATCACGTTATTCTAATGAACAAAGTGCAGCTGTTCTCTGCTCACATCTGGAAACGAGCCTGTTCTCTGCTCACATCTGGAAACGAGCCTGCAGCTTCAGAACACACACAAAGAACCATCATGGTAACAGTGGATGATGCAGAACGAGACCACTGTGTGTTTTAACAACTGCAGCAGCTGATTTGCATTTTGTTTGTTTGTTTGTTTGTTTGTTTGTTTGTGATGATCCTGCATCATGTGAGAGCTTTCTTTGCTGTGAGTGTTTCTGTAAATAGGTCAGACTCTGTTTGCTCTGATCGTCTCTGTCAGAGCCAACGATCAATGGCTGCTCTGCAGGAAGACTTGCTTCTATTTGCATCTTCTCTTGTCTTCATCTGTGCAGCACACACACACACACACACACACACACACACACACACACACACACACACACACACACACACAGATACCATTCAGCTTTTCACGACGCCCAGGGCAGTCAGTATTTACAAATCGACTCGTTTCACCATGAAATCTCACACAGTGTTGCTGGGTTTCTGACACAATGTTGGGAACCGATTCATCTCACCATTTACGCGGCGTTAATGCGTTCACCAACAAGATGACGGCTTGTTAAAGCTCATCTCAGCCATTCATACGTGCTTTTGTTTGCTCGTTTACAGCTCATGGATTTATCGAAACACGTGGCTGACCCTTCAGTTGGTGCACACTGAYGGTTTAATATAATGAAAGGAGCACAGACCTGTGAAAACGTTTGGCTGTTTTGGAGAAAAATGGACATTCGGGTCTGTATTTGACATTGATTTTGTTGTCTGCACTGATAGTGGCGGATGAAGTGAGATTTCTAAATGAGCTCATCGTTTCCCACATCTAAAGGGGCAGTTCGGATCTTTGGAAATGGGGATTTGAGGAAAGGTTATGAACACATAATACAGACTAATCAACAATGGAGAAGCTTGTCTGTCTATTAGTAAAATGTCTCTTAGCGGACAAGCATTACCATACTTAATGGAATGCATATTGCCCACTGCCTTTCATGACAGAGGATTAAACTAAGATCAGCTTATAATGAAAAATAATGATGATGGAGCCATTTTGGTCAAAATTTGTATAAAATATTTAGCAAAATCTTATACAGGAGAGATGTGCCATCCTGGAGAACTGAACTTGCCACCCTATCTCTGAGTTCTTACCCTGAGGTGAGGGTGGGAAAGTAGACGACCGGTAAACAGAGTGCTTCATTTTAGAGCCCAGCCCCCTCTTCACCCCAACGCCCCGACACATAGTCCACAATTCTGCAGAAGCTGCACTAATTTGTCTATCGGTCTCATGCTCCAGATGTGTTACCCCTTGGTATATAAGTTAGGGACGATGCTCTGCTACTACCACACCAAAGTCTAACCTGATATCTGTGAAATTGACCGAGCTACAATTTTCCTACCATTGCTGTTGATATCTTGATACAATTTATTATTATGTAAATGTATCAACATTTGCACCTTTAAAATTTAGACTCAACAAAAACATATCAAAACTGAATGAATATTGCTTCCTTTCATACCATACCAAAACTATGATTTAAAGGTAGTTTAGGAAGATTATTTTCTACTTGTAATTACAGAGATCAGTAGATGGCACTTCACTGGACTAATTTTTAGGCAAATTTCAGCAATAATCTATATTTAAATTTTTTTTACTGATTTTTGCAGCATTGGTCACATCTTGAAAATAACGTTATAAAAGGTTGCACACAAAATTTTGAGATTTCACATGAGCGGCTAGTCTTTTTAATATGCATTGAAGAGGACTATAGCATTATAGCCACTTTTGTATTTAAAAAGGTCAAATCATTGTGGCGGTCATCATGAATCGAGCTTACCAGTTACTTTCATTTTAAAAACTTCTACTTTCTGGGAGTTTCATTAAAATTCATCACAGTTCAGAAGATCTTTTGCTAACATGAAATAAATAGCAATTTATAGTTGTTCATAACCATTCCATAAACTGTTAAAACTGTTGCTTTAACTCAAGTCTCGAACATCAGCATAAATGGTAAAATATATGGCTGTTGGTCTGACTCACTGATTTAAATAAAGATTTCACGCATGTAAAAATCAAAGTGTGAACACATTTCCCGCTCCGATCTGACCTGTTGGTGCTTGAATGTGGGCGTCGGGCTGCAGCCAGCTGATGCAAGCCCAGATTGGGACTGTGGAAGAGGAGTCCACTGCGTCGAAGCAGCTTCTGCTTCATGGCCGGCAGGCTGCTCCACTCCTGAACGAATCTCAGCACCTGCAGACGAGAGGCAACGCCTCACATTATGTTCGCTTTCAATCCCAGGCTGCTGGAGCCTTCATCTTTATTGCAAATTGACAGCTCGGCCATCGAAGCAGCTCGAAAAGCAAGAAAAACACTTTTTTTTCTCCCCACTACTTACACTTCTCAATTTTCAGAATACATTTGAGTTGAAAACAAACAATTCAAAAATGATGCAGTTTTTCAGATAGCTGAACAAAACCCATCAAAGCAAAAGAATGGAGCTATATATTTATACATACTTTCAGTCAGGTATTCAAAGAAAATCCCCCGACAATATAGCAAATATGGCACCGGGCACCAAGGCCTAATGTGCAATTTACCATCATATATCACAACTGAGGAGTGTTTACGCTCAAAATATGACTTGTGAGAAAACACAATGAATGTGTATTACTCAGACTATTTTATACCAGCTTTCATAACATTTCAGTTGTTTTCTGGATTACTCAGCAGTTTTGATATAAAAAGCATGACTTGTAGTTTTACTGAGGGTTGTGATGACAGCATAAAGACACACAAACAGGCAACTACATTAAGATTTAAGTACATTGGTGCAGAAGTACAGAGGAGCCATTAAATTTTATTTTGAAAYGTAAGCCAAGAGTCAAGGGTTTGTCCAAACATGAGGGGAGATACATCTTTAAAAAAGTTGTTCCAGAAGCAACAAAAAGCTGTAAACATAAATGGTACCATTAAAAACAACCTTTGGAACATTTTATAACTATTTATAAACTGGTCAGTAAGAGGACAGGGAATAAAAAGCACATATCAGAGAGGCAGAAACTCTTATAAGTAAAGATGGGCAGAGGTTTACCAGTCTGTGGAAAAACAGTCCTAAAATACTGGAAGAATTTCAGAATAAAATTCCAGACTGAAGTACTTTAAATCATTATCATCTCCAGTTCATAATCTGATGAACAGATTATTAATCTGTAGAAAACTCTAGAGTTGAAAGGCTGAAAGTCAATACTGGATGGTCGTGACTGTCGGGTCCTCAGGGGCCAGTGCATTAAAACCAGATCTGGCTCTGTTCAGGAATCACTTCCACAAGTAAATGTCTGTAAACTTAGTTCACTGTGCAATCAACAAATACCGCTTAAAGCTCTATGAGTCAAATCAGATGAACTGAGGCAAAGTGAAGAACTGTTAWGGTGTCAGACAGATCCAAATCTGAAATTTTTTGTGGAAACAGTGTCCTCTGTACTACATAAAACATGAATCATTCAAAATTTTATCAGCTCACAGTTCAAAATCCTGCCTCTCTTCTGGTATGGGGTGCATTAGTGCCTACGGCATGGACAGCTGACACATCTGGAAAGGCTCCATCAATGTAGAAAAGTACAGGGGTTAGACAATGAAACTGAAACACCTTGTTTTAGACCATAGCATCCCTTTCAGACAGCTTCCTCTTGTGTCCACACTTAAGCTGAAAACATACTCCCTGCGGACTGGTGACGTCGGCACGTGTTGTCGCAGTTTAATGACAAAAATTACATCACCGGGCTTCTCAGCGTCGTGTCGACAGCCTCTTTTGGCACAACCCCACGGCAGAACTTTTGACCTCCCTCCCGTGTCGACGGTAATGTGTGATTGGTCTGAAATTCGTGGGCGTCTTTGTTTGTGCTGCGCTCGAGGGGAAAAAAAGGAAAAAGAACAACTCGCTCCCAGACTAAAAGCAGAGTTTTATAAGATATAGTCAAACCGTGAAAAACTTATGGCTTGTTTGTGTGTACTTAATATGCGCTGCTGCACTTGGTAAAAAAAAAAGAGGGGAAAAAAGCCCCGACTCGCTCCCAGAGCCGACACCAGGAAGCAGAGTTTTATAAAGATATTCATACCGCGAAAAACTCATGAATGGAGATAAAACCGATATTGTGCACAGAGGAATCTGACTGATGAAAACTGTGGAGCTTATGTGGATAAATACGTCGGGTGAGTGACATCTTTTTTTTTCTGCAATGATTGTCGGCTGCTGCGATGGGAAATTCCATGCAGTGACATATGGTTCAGTGGGAGGGGGGTTTCCCGAGCTCGGCGYGGGGTGTCTCAATGACTATGAAAAGTCTGTGCGAAAACAACTGCCGATCAACCACGTGACCACGGGTCGACCCGTTGGCGTCGGAGCAAGTATGTTTCAGGCTTTAATCCTGTTGGATGTGGTTGGTCCTTCTTGGTGGTATGCTGACATTACCCTGGATACCGTGGCTCTTGATACATCACAAAGACTTGCTGTCTTGGTCACAGATGCACCAGCAAGACGTGCACCAACAATTTGTCCTCTTTTGAACTCTGGTATGTCACCCATAATGTTGTGTGCATTGCAATATTTTGATCAAAACTGTGCACTTACCCTACTAATTGAACCTTCACACTCTGCTCTTACTGGTGCAATGTGCAATTAATGAAGATATGCCACCAGGCTGGTCCAATTTAGCCATGAAACCTCCCACGCTAAAATGACAGGTGTTTCAGTTTCATTGTCCAACCCCTGTATGTGCAGGTTTTATTTAAGGTTTTGATCCTGGTCCTGCAGGGCCACTATCCTGGGTGAAAAAAACGCTTCTGTAGAACTTGAAGAGGTAATTCAGTCACTGCATCAGATGTGCTGGAGCAGAGAAACAAGGATTGGACACTCCTGGTTTAGAACAATAAACACTCCCATCCAGACGACACCTACGGAGGGAAGACTTTGCATATTTCAGCAAGACGTTGCAGCCTCCATTACATCAACATCACTTGAGAGTTGGCGGTTCGAGTGCTTGTTATTCAGTCACATGTCGAAGTGTCCCTGGGCAAGGCACTGAACCCCCACTGCCTCTGCTATGTGTCCCATCAGTGTAGGAATGGTATTTAAAGCACTGATTAGTCTCTATAGATCGATTTGTACAAGTTAGCTTGGTAGTGAGATCTAATAGAGTGCTGTGTAGATGGATAAACGAGGACACAGGTTGTAGTGTGAAGCACTTTGAGCATCCTGGTTGGCTAGAAAGATGCTTTGTAAGTAGAGTCCATTTAACATTTACCATTTAGTAAGAGTCCAGGTGGTGAACTGGTCCACCTGCAGTCCAGAACTCTCACCAATTTAAAATATTCATGACAGATCATAAAACAAAAAAGGACAGTAGAACAACTAAAATCCTCCATCAGACCACAATGGGACAACATTCTCCTCCATTAATCTGAAACCTCCCGAACAGGTCTCCTCAGTTCCTCTAAAACTTCCTGAACTGGTCTCCTCAGTTCTTCTAAAGTACTTTTATTTTTTCTAAAACATTATTGATAAACTCATGTTTTTCAACAATGAAACTGAAGTTTTTTGTGTATTTTTTGAGGATATAAAGGATCAGACCGAGATAGTCCAACAGTCACATCTACCTTCAGGGCTTACTTTGTTTTTGTAATTCCACTATTCCCCTTTCCCATCTGATTATTCCAACAACTTAAAGCTGCTGCCTGCCTGAGTCTTTAACTACAGCTGGTGAAGGAGCACCTGCACACCTCTGCCTTCCTGTCTGAGCCGTGTCACGGCCCACATTAAACTGTTTGTCTAGTATTGATCGGGAGAGACAATCGGAGGGTAACGGGGCGTAAATGATGGGCGTGAGGATGGATGCAACTCACGCCTCGGTTTTACAAACCAACATAAACAACGTGACAGGTGTGGCGTCTGTCAGAATCTCTGATCGGGGTGGGCCGCCGTGGCAGACTGCGAGGATTTAATACGTGCGGGGTCGTTGGAGGCGATGATCCGTCTCCTTTAACGAGGCTCATAAAATGGTCCACCCTTCCAACTCTCCCCCCACCCCAACCCCGTTCAGGCCTTGAAGGGAAGAACAGTGGGCATCCACGCTCCACCTTTCAGGTCAATACTCTGCTTGCTGTCCTTCCTGATGATGATCAGAGGTATCATTAGCTTCAAACGGCACCGACATGCATATATCAGACAYGTTTAATAACCCCCGCTCTGCACCGCACCTCGTCTTTACCAAGTCAGTGAAATTAAAGTGATATCTCCACTGACCGAAACAAAATTATCTCTGAAATTTTGACGATCCCAGAAGCAGCCTATATGGAAAACTAACTTTTAACAACACTCTTGAGTACTTACGTATTTTATCTTTGATATTTTGCAGTTATCTGGTTGTATTTTACTGCCTTTTTCTTTTTTTTCAGCTTTATTTTTATTTGTTTTTATACAGGAACAAACAGATGAGGACTAGGCCAGGCACAAAGGAAAGAACAATATTTTTCCTAGTCACAAAAAGGAAAATACTAGGTGTAAGAGCCAAATTAGTAAATAATCAAATGTTAATGTGACAGGTGATCAWGCAGCTTTAAMACTTGGGTGGTGGGTGAGTTTAAGTGGGCGTGAYTGTCACATTTATGAATGGCGTRCTTACTGGCRTTCTGGTTAATTGCATAGAWRAGGAAGTTGGGTGCGCTYGAGGTGGTCATATTTTCTGTTGACSGWRTTAAAATGTTTGAACCKGGTCAGTCTGTKTCTCAGTCAATGTAAAGTTTAAATAYGGAAACTTGGARTGGAATAAAGGMATTGAAAAGAAGTGACCTGGAGTTGGTATGAAGCACGCGTYGGACAGAGAGATTCCTCGAGTTTAGCCCAGCGCAGTCCATCAGTACCGCACAAACACTAGGTCTAGGATACTCCTTTCACCTTYAGAAGACGTGAGTAGTGAAATAGTCAATGTCTCGATGTGGTGGATAAAGTTCCATTGATACACGTCTAACACATGGTGTAGCCGAAAGTAATCCCCTTTTTGCCCTTATTAAAAACTGTTGATCTTTTTGGAGTGCTGGTGATTCCTGCTTTATGTAACACATGGCGTGACAGTACATTTATATTAGCATACACATGGTATATATATAGTTAAATAATGAGTTATTAAGAATGAATAAGCAATGAGTATGCTTGTTTTGGTAGTAATAAGCAGAGTTGCACATAAGTGGTGCGCAGATACACATGCGCAATCAAAAAAGGAAAAAGTGCACCAGATGGGACGTCATAAAGCTCTCTTGCATACCTATGATTGTACCTGAATGTCTGTCAAAACAACAGCTAGCAGGGCTCTAGAGTGCGACCAGTTTGGTCACAAACGCGACCTGATTTCTTAAAAAAAAAAAAAGATCCAGCCGCACTAGTGTGAATGGATCGTTGTTCGGTGCGCCACAGCAGGACCCTGATATAAGGATTAAACGGACACTGCCTTCAACAAATTAGACGAAGTCCAGAGCAATTTTGTCCAATCAGAGCAGAGCAGGGCGGGACTTTCACTGAGAGCATGTTTGGTTGAAGCAGCGGGCCGGCTCGAGTCGACTCGAGCTGCTGCAGCGATCAGTCACATCTCCTCCTCCGCTCCTCCTGCGCTTTGCTCCTGAACTACCAGAGACTTTGGTTTGTAAAATCTAACTWTATRTTAMATATRTGTTCAGAATGTTGTTATTGAACRGATCTGTCCAACTCTGTGTGAATGACTAAACTCTCCTCCTGAGAGACTGCTGTATGAGTGCGTCGCTGTACGCGCAGGCTGAGTCTGTGAGATTCATTGAGTTTTTCTTATTAAACCACCTTAACTAACAGAACATTTGTTTGCCCCATATTAAAGCAAAGATGATTCTCTG